CTGCAAAGCATTGGGAAGAAGAAACATACAAATGATTTCAGCCTTCTAGCAACAATAAGGTAAGCTCAGTTCCAAGACCACTGAAATTCTAAAAGAAGAAGAAGTAGAAGTAAAGTTTCCTGCAAGGGTGGCAGTAAAACTAATGCCTTTTAACAGCAAAGGAAACTTTCGAGACATTTGAGGACAGGTTTCAACTTGAGAGACCTTGCAGCTGATGTGCCTGAATTCCATATTCAGAACCAAAAGTTCTGGACGTGGAAGAAACAGCACTCAAGCCAATATTATGGTGACAGGGGCATTTAACTGAATACTTTGGAATATTCGCCTACATTTTATGGTCATACTTCTTACTTCTTGTATAACACTGGGAGGATTAGGACTGAGTACCCAGGATACTTGCCTATATCTTATAGCCACATATCTTACTTTCTGAGGAACTCTTGAAATTTGTAGTGTACTTCTCTTTAAACAGAAGCACACCCCACACCTTCCACACTCACCTATATGAAGTCACCTCTGCAACCAAGAGCTGCTCATGCAAAAGTTTTTTTCATTTGTATGAAGCACCTGCAACCTTGCTGGTAGCGCCACATGCTACTGAAGGAGTTTGCACAAGGTAGCCAGATGTATGAATGTAAACCTCTTCTTGATGTATTTCCCTTCTCTCCTTTTCTTATGGGGCAGGTGGATGGATAAATAAAGGAGCGATCACATGCTGACTTCTTTTGAGTAGCATGAGGAATAAATAGTAGGCTAACTACACTGTTTCCATGCCCCAAACCTACCATTTCATCTGATTAATGTGAGCATTTGTTGCATATGTATTAATTCCTTTCAGAATTTCAGGTGGGTTGATAATGCAGACTAATTAAAGGATAACACAAGAGAGCTGATTGAAAGATGTCTCTTCTTCTTTTTGTTCTAAATGATATTCCATTTAAGAGGCAATGCTGCTGAGCAGTTTTCTAAAGAAGATCATCTCCTTAAAGCATTGTCTTCTCTGATATGAGGGTGTGGGAAGCGACCTTTTCTCTCTCTAGAAAGCATTTAAATGCTTATTTAATGCAGCAACATACCCCAAATCTACTGAAAAACAGTTTACAGTGCCTTTTTCCAAATTACACCTTCTCTTTGTTTTTTGGGTAGATGTGGAGGAGTATACATTTTAAATGCATTTCAACTGTTTCTCATCAGGATTTTTTCCCCTCTTCCTTTATTTGCTTCTCTTTGATTTCCTCTTCCTATCTTTTGACTGCTTATGTGTTCAGCAGAAGAATGGGGAATAGCTGAGACTTTGCAAAATCACCATATGAACATATATGATTAATGGCCAATCCAAAGACTGCCAAGCTAGAAAGCATTTGTGTAACCCATTGCAGCAGAACTTCACAAGCCATGAGGTTGATGTTCATATTTAGGGCAGGTAATAATGTGTGCACTTGCACTGTACTCTTTATTACTTATTACATTTCATATTGCACTCCTAAGCATGTTCATTCAGAAGTTCAATGGGAGTGATTGCCTCCTGAATTGGTTTAGGGCAGTGACGGCCAAAGTTGGCCCTCCAGCTGTTTTGGGACTACAAGTCCCTTCATCCCTGACCACTGGTCCTGTTAGCTAGGGATGATGGGAGTTGTAGTCCCAAAACAGCTGGAGGGCCAAGTTTGGCCATCACTGGTTTAGGGTTTTAGCCACAGGATTCAGTCTGTTTAGGGTGCAATGCACAATGTGCTCCTATCCTGTTGCCTGTCTCCATTGCCCTTGGTCACTCTCTCTGCTGCCCTTGATACCCTGCAGTACAATATCTAAGGATGAAATATTCAAATTATTTGGGTTAAAGGATTGTCATAGCACTCAATAAACATATGCCCAGGGAAACTGCATTGGCTGTCTTGTGTGTTGTTGTTGTTTTTAATTTGCCTCATATTTGTGATCCTCATACTGCTTTGCTCATTGAAAGCCCATTCACCCTTCTAAGAGTTGTTCTTCAAGATGTTAGATTCCAACTCCCACCCAACCCCAGGCTGCATGACCAACGAACAGGGATGTCAGGAGTTGTAGTCCCAACAACATGGGGGAGGGGCACAGGTTAGCACCACCATCCTAAGGAATAGCTAGTACAAAAATTAAGCAGTAAGAGAAACATCAGTGACTAGGTGTACAAGCATATGTGCATATATCTTACGGTAAACAGAATAAAATACAAGGGATCTTAATTTCGGTTGTAATCCTGTACATACCTACCTACCTGGTAGCAAATTCCATTGCTGTCACAGAGGTTTACTTCAGAATTGGCAAGTATAAAAGTGCACTGTCTGTGTGCAAGCATATACACCAAATAGCTCTCCCGTACAGTGTTTTCCAGTCCCTTTCTTTTCTTTTTCTTTTTCAATTTACAAAGAAAATAAGTTTTTTTAAAAAAATCATGACATCTCTAAGGCTGTATATATATGAAATCTTTAAAACCCATCCAACTTTTTCCTCCCTCATAGAATTCTGCGCCCTGTAGTTTACCCTTCACAGAGTTAAAATTCCCAGCAACCCCCCCCCCCCAAATTATAGTGCCCAGAATTCTTTGAGGAAATAAACTCTTTGAACCTGGTCTGTTATTATCTGAATTTGCTAGTTAGAATGGGAGCTGTTGTTTTTCACATTTAGCTTCTCGGTGAATGGGAGAATCTCATTTCAAGAGGATATATTTCTTGCCAGAGAGTAAGTTCCATTGGATGAAATTCGACTTACTAATGAGTAGCCTTGCAGAGGGTAGCACCTTGAGAAAGTGGCTTGGATATTTTCCCCAATGTGTCTCCAAATTACCCACGCTGATGCATTTCCACTTGCTGTCTTGCTTGTATTTTTCTTCTTCTTTTTTTGGCAAAGGATACTTTCAAACATTTCAGCATATCAGTGACAATTATCTCCGGAAGAGGACATGTGATTTATATTCGGGGGGTGGATATTTGACCCATCATTGTCAATTACTTCGTGGCTGCTGCATCTACCACGTTCTCATAAGACTCCAGAAGTCTCGTTGTGGAAATGTGTATGACTGGCAGCTAGTACATAGGAATGTGGGAAGTTACCTCACATCAATCAGGGCAGACTATTTTTCTTCCTTGCTGAGCAGCAGAGTCTGCAGCAGTGAGCTTTCTTGTCAACTGCTATCTGATCTTTTTAACTGCAGAGACCACGACTGAACTTGGTACCTTCTACATGCAAAGTGTGTGTGTCCTGTCACTGGACTATGATGCCTTGCAAAGCTTGATTTAGTAAACTCCCCCCCCTTTCCTCTTTGATGTCTGTCATGGGTGAGATTTGCTTTTTCCAAGACCAGTCCTGGATTTAGAATCCCATCATACTGATGGCCAGTGCTGGATTTATGTATAAGGTAAACAAACTATAGCTTGGGGTCCCACTCTCTTGGCCCCCCCAAAAAATAATTAAAGGGGGGGAAACTGGATGCACATTTCCAAAATATACGATAAAAAACAAATAAAATAAAACTTACATACAGCAATAGTGTTGTGTGTTGTGTAGGCTCCTATGATGTAAGTAATGCCCCCCCAATCATTTTAAGTTAGAGCTTAATAATTATTTCACAGTTATTATGCTTCTTCTTAATTCTTCTTAATTTTACTATTAATATACTTCTTAATTGTATTTCAGTTCAACAATCATATTCAACACAAAAAACAGCAACAATTTGTTGTTGACAAAAGACAGCTGGATATATGAAGGGCCCCATTAGGTACCTTCAGTAGCTTATGGTCTCATCAAACCTAAATACGGCCCTTCTGATGGCACTTCTGAATGCCCCTGTGACCCCTAACTTATTCCTGGCCACCTCTTAACCTTTCACTTATCTAACCTGTCCTGGCTGCTGCAAAAAGTGAGTGGCAGCATAGTGCAAGATTTGTAGAACTGAGAGACAGAACATTTCCAGTCTGGAAAGGCTGAGTTCAGATATATTGTTGGGAAGTGTGGAAAGGTGAGTTGACAAGGGGAAATTCATGCATGTGAATGTACAGCATGGAGATCCATACATTATTTCTAGTATAGGAATCAGTATCTACTTTCTAATGCCTAAATCACAAGGCAACAACCAACTAATTTTGCATCAGTGGCTGGAAACCTGTGGATCTCCAGATGTTGGGGTATAAATCCCTTCATCCCTGACCATTGGACATGTTGGCTGGGATTCATGAAAGTTAGAATCCAAGAGCCACAAGTTTTTCCACCACTGATGCACATGAACAACGTAACTGGAAGACATAATTATCCACAGCACCTTACCCATTACCACTGTCTACATTTTACTTTCTTGGGCTCCATGATCACTGCAGATGGTGACAGCAGTCACGAAATTAAAAGATGCCTGCTTCTTGGGAGAAAAGCAATGATAAACCTAGACAACATCTTAAAAAGCAGAGACATCACCTTGCCGACAAAGGTCTGTATAGTTAAAGCTATGATCTTCCCAGTAGTGATGTATGGAAGTGAGAGCTGGACCATAAAGAAGGCTGATCGCCGAAGAACTGATGCTTTTGAATTATGGTGCTGGAGGAGACTCTTGAGAGTCCCATGGACTGCAAGAAGATCAAACGTATCCATTCTTATGGAAATCAGCCCGGAGTGCTCACTGGAAGGACAGATCGTGAAGCTGAGGCTCCAATACTTTGGCCACCTCATGAGAAGAAAAGACTCCCTGGAAAAGAGCCTGATGTTGGGAAAGATGAAGGGCACAAGGAGAAGGGGACGACAGAGGACGAGATGGTTGGATACTGTTCTCGAAGCTACCAGCATGAGTTTGACCAAACTGTGGGAGGCAGTGGAAGACAGGAGTGCCTGGCGTGCTCTGGTCCATGGGGTCACGAAGAGTCGGACATGACTAAACAACTAAACAACAACAACATTTCCACTATGGCTTTCAGTTTTCCAGAGGCTTTGTGAATTGGTGGATATTTGGTTCCTCTGAGAAAAGTTTTGAGTAATTAATTTATATCTAGATAGCTCAGTAGGTAGTGCATGAGACTAGAGCATGAGACGCTTGATCTCAGGGTTGTGGGTTTGAGCTCCACGTTGGGCAAAAGATTCCTGCATTGCAGGGGTTGGTCTAGATGACCCTCGTGGTCCCTTCCAACTCTACAAGTCTATGATTCTATTAACTGCCTTTGAAAATGAAGGAGTAACACAACACAATAATCTCCGTGATAACTATTGAATCTGTCATCTCTCTTTCTCCTGGGATGTGCATCAGTCAAATACCGAGGCAAATAGGGAATATTTGGGTTAACAAATAAGATAGGTCTATTCACAAGTCCTCCTGATAAACTTAATTCTCCCACTATTATGAATATTGTCTGTTTCATTTTGTTTAACAGCAAGGAAGAGAAGTAGGTAAAAAACATTCATAATATTAAAATAATCCCCGCAAACAACAGGAGATGTTTAAACAAAATCTGGAGTGCCTTTCAATCTTCTGCTAATTTGTAACATTTCAAGTACTATTTTTCTCTCAAATACATAAGAAAATAAAAGAAGGCTATTTTAATGTAAGAAAAATGGGGCAGGGAAACTTCCATATCCTCCTATGAACTGGAAATACAAGAAAATTCCAGGAATCTGCAATTTTATGCACACTTGTCTGGGGATAAGGTTCCTTGAACTCAATGGGACTTACTTATGAGTAATGTATCATTAATAACTGGCTTGACTTAAATATCCTGTCCAATATTACTCAATGGACTTTGTGCACATGAGCAGACCCATATATATTTTACACCTAAAATGTTATTTTTTTTATCTTAAACCGCACAAGGATGTTCTTTCAGACACTGTAATTAGAAAACTAAAATGGTCTCAGAAGCAAAGGAAAGGTCAGTGGAAAACAATACTGCAGCTGCTTTCAAGATTTGAGGTTTGTCACATTGACTGTATGGGGAAAAAAGGTGTTGGTGTTTTCCTTTTAAAGCAAAATGCCAGATTTTGACTATTTAAGGTTGCAAAACCTATGTGAGAGTAAACCCTATTAAACTCAAAGGAGCTTGCTTCTGATAAGATGTGGAAAGGATTGTACTGTTAGTCAGCTAAAGGAAGAAGTGGTGCAATGGAACTCGGTGAACCACAAGACAGATGGCAACCACAAAGGAAATTATTACCATATACTGAAGCCTCGTCTGGATAGTACAAATTGATCAAATATACGCTGCAAAAGCACTCTCAGGGACAGCAATGCTACAGGGGAAATGGCATAACTCAAAGAAATCTGCTTTCCAACAGATGACATTATTAGCAAAAGATGGGAGAGGTCCCTATCAGGATAATTCATTTGAAAGTAGCCCTGATGTTGAAATGAATAGATCAAATCTCAATTGTTGTAAAAGCCCTTTTGAAAAGCTTTATAGACTGCCTCAGAGTAACAAATTATCTTGGCAATCTGTAGAAACACACCCTTTCCAATCAGAGATATGCATGAGGTAGACCTGTGGAGCGAGAGCCTCCGTTCTTAGTACTTGGAATCAAATTGTCAAGTCAATTAACCTGAATTTGGAAAGATTATTTCCTTAAAAGGATTGGAGGGGGGCGTTACTGATAAAACTTAATTAACTTGTATGAACTAATTTGGCTCTGACTTGACTGACATTTCTTTGCCCTTGGTGTGCAGATACTTTTAAGGTTATAAACTCTCAGTTTGCATCATTCAGGTACTCAGATTCATTTCATATTAACAGTGGCATATCTGGAGGGCTGGGGAGACAAACAGGGCTATGAACTATGCATTGAACAAATAAACAAAAAAAAATGCCTTAATTCTTCTTCGCATTCTGCCAATGAAGAAGAACTCTTTGTCTTCATATACTGTATATGTACAAAAATATTGTAAACAAGTAGAAACATTTGCAGACTTTGCCTAAACACTTGCAAGTAGTTAAAATAAGATAAAGTTTATGGAAGGAAATTTGAACTGAAACAATAAAAACTGATGGTATGTAATTAGGATAAAATAATAAGCATAAGAAAAAAGAGGTTCAAGTATAATTATGCAGAATATATATATATATTTAATGAACCAGGAAAGGAAATGGAGGGAAGTCAGGAGGTTAAAGAGAACCTCTGAAAAGAGGTTTTTTAATTATTTTATTTTAGTTTTTATACTTCATGTTGGATATTATGTATTTCTCATTCTTCTTTTTTGATGGAAAATAATTGTTGAAGTTGAAATTGTAAAACCAATAAAATTTATTTACAAAAGAAGAAGAAGAACTCTTTGTCTTACTCCAAATGAGAGCGAACAGTTTGGCATTCATCAATATGGAACCCATGTGCTTCTGATGAAAGAGGTGGGCTGTGGGTAGCAAAAGTGTAAACACCTGGGGACATTTTAGTCTTTAGGTTATTCATATTATATTCTATTTTGTAAGCATGCAAGTACTATTAGTTCCAGAACCTCCATCATAGCCAAACATATTATGCATACATTGTTGGCCCATCGCTAAACTAGTGAAAGTGAATATACATGACCATATGTCTATATCGGGGTCAGCAAACTTTTTCAGCAGGAGTCCAGTCCACTGTCCCTCAGACCTTGTGGGGGGCCAGACTATATTTTGAAGAAAAAAATGAACAAATTCCTGTGCCCCACAAATAACCCAGAGACACATTTTAAATAAAAGCACATATTCTACTCATGTAAAAACACCAGGCAGGCCCCACAAATAACCTAGAGATGCATTTTAAATAAAAGCACACATTCTACTCATGTAAAAGCACACTGATTCCTGGACCGTCTGTGGGCCAGATTTAGAAGGCGATTGGGCCGGATCTGGCCTTAGTTTGCCTACCCATGGTCTATATCCATCTCCTTAGCTATAACTTTTATTTGGTTTTTAAACCACAGCATCTGTCACAAAATAAACAAGTAAAGTGAATATAGGAAGATTAAGTCTGAGACATTCTGTAAGCAAGGCAGTAAGCATTTTCGCTCACCCACCAAGTCTTTGCTGCAACCTGCCTTATGCCTGTGCCCAAATAGCTATGTCAGCCGAACTGTTTCCTGTACCTTCCTTATTCTGATTGGACATCTTTGTGACTACATCAAATAGATGCCTCTCCAACTTTGTACCTACATTGTTTCCCTTCCATCTGCCAGAGTTCTAAATGATGTGGGAAACTCACATAGATAGACAAGACTCAGGTTCCAAAGTTATCCTTTGGCGTGTGAGGGTCTGGAAGGATCCATATGACATTGGCTAAATGCATGGTTCCGTAACCTCTTTGTGTGAGTGGTGCTCGGAAGGGCTTGTGCCAGGCCATATCAAGGCACCTAGAGGACAGTTGACCACCACACACATTGGTACTCTGAGGAGAGCTCTATGCATCCTACAAGAAATCTGAGCTGAAGAGCATCATATATAATTAAAGCAACAAAAAGCAACAAGAATAACAACAGAAAACATTTCTTCTAACGCAGTCAGAACAAGACAATTAGCAGCTAAATTAAAAGCATGCTAAAAGAGAAAGCATAAATTTTATTTAAAAGCACAGTAAAGCAGCAAATGCCCTATTGGGTGTTTTCAGTTGTTAGCCGTATTGGGTATCTTGAGATATAAAGACAGGTTCCAAATGTCTGAAAATAAATACAAATAAAATTGGGAATGTCCAGTCAAAAAAGATAGCCCCAAAATAAACCCACACAGTCAGCATAATCTGTAATCTTCCGCAACCTTCTATAACTGGAAATCTGAAAGGGCTGGCTTTTTCGGAGCAAACAAGAAATATATATATATATATACACACACACACACACACTCACATGTCGGTTTTCTTTTGATTGACAAGTGAGACAGATTCTTGTCAAATTGAAATACGTCTGCTTCTCCAGATGGATGTGGGAAAAAGAAAGAAGGAAGAAGGGGGAGTGGAAGAAGGCGTTCCAAGGACAAATGTAGGAAGCAGTGTGGGAAGCTGCTTTTATTTTTATCCAACACACAAAAGTACATGAATGTGCACTGAGCTGGGGGGAAATTAAATTAAGTTCGGAAATGTATGAATCTGGAGGGCCACACCAAAGGGTCTCCCCCCCCCCAATATATTCAGCTGGCTTTCTGAACACATACATTCATCATTAGTTGCCAGACATCACAACTAAATTTATATATGGTTATGTTGGCTGATGGGTGACATCTTTTGGGTAGGAAAAGGCTTTTACAGAGTATGCTAATTAGCTATAGGAGGTTGTCTTTCCATCAGCAATACAATTTGTATGCTAAGGCAAACAGGCATGTTGAACTTCAGGCACTTGGTGAAGGCTTTAATTCAGCAGGCATTTTAAGTAAGCTTTACTGATTTTATAGTTAATTTTAACTGATTTTATCTTCTGTATCTCTTTTGCAACCTCTTTGTACAACACTTCAGAATGACAGTTAAGTGGTATAGAAAGGGTTGATATGAACAAAATGAACAATAATGAAATACTATTTAAGATAGAAATGCTTTAGATACTGTATACCACCATTCAGATGAAAATTCTGTAAAAGAAACCACGAAGAGTTTGGTTTTTGTTATTGCTTTATTATATTGGAAAGCAAATGTTCTTGGAATATGAGCCAATTTGGATCCATGTCCTATGAGCAAAGGCCCTTAGATTCTCTTGTTACAGGCAGTGAAACAAAGCATGCCAGAGTCAGAACGAATATAGAATTATAATATTTACAGCTGGAGTCAATTGGTTCATTGTTTTATATGAAGGAAGAATGGAACTGATGAAGAGAAAAATATCCCCATAGTTGACAAAATTGCTCGTGAGATAGATTATTTTAACAATTCTTCTGAGCGCAATGGTGCTATAGAGCATTAAACATTTTTAAAGTGTTTCAAGGTCCAGTGTGGTATAAAATATTCAACATCCTTCCAATTCGCCAAAAATATTCCACTAAAATTAGAGTTCTATATATCTCTAAAATAATTGGCAAGATCAGCTTTTTAGTGGAAAGCAAAAGGGCTAGGAGATTTAATAATGCCATCATTGATCTTTGCATATGTGAGTAATCCTCCTTGGAAATGAGGCTGTTAATGCAGAAATGAGTT